CAGTAACTCAACGCCTAACTTTTCGTATATTCTGTTGTTTCGTGCATACCATTCAGCATTTACAATTTGTTGTAGAAGAGAATTTTGGCAGCCCTGGCAATCTTTTTCTGTTAGTTTTCTGTGTATATTCCCAAACAGGACTTCCATAACACAAAAGTGAACGAAGAATGGACTTGTAAATGAGCAACTTTGTCATCTATAGATAATACACTGTTTCGAGCAATTAAGGGGTATAGTTTGGCTTTACGAACTCGGAAACTTCTGGGTAATAGATGTAATGTGTGAGGACTATGTAAGTGACTTATTGAAGATCACCAAAGCGTAGCTATTTAGGACCAAATCGTCGGCTGTACTGCGCCCTATCCAATGATGGGGCAGTTCTCGGTTAAGAAATTTACCAAATGCCAATGTGGTGATACACCATCTTGTTGAAAAATGGTATTTTGAATATCTTTTTTCAACCGAGTGACAAGCCAAATTTCTAGCATATCGACGACGACCACTCACTGATTTTTTGGCAAAAATGAATAGTCTGTAAACCTTTGATGGAGATACTGTACAAAAGGCGTTTACTTTTGGTGAGTTCCTAACGTGTTCGACGTAAGCACGGGGATTTTCCGATTTCCCCTCCCCCCAAATTAGCACGTTATGACGGTTTACTTTGCCACTTAAAATGAAAGGTGGCTTCCTCACTAAATACGAGTTGACTGCAAAAATGTTCATCTTGCATCGTTTCATACATGAAAAGGCATTAGTTGAGATGCTGCAACTCATCGCTAGGCTTCGCATGCTTTGCAATTTGTAGTTTAAAACACAATTTTTTTTCTCAACACAGTCCAAATGGTAGAGTGCTTTATTCCACGTTCACGACTAGTACAAACTGTCGATTTCTTCAACTGCGTAAAACAGTCTCTCGCATTATTTCAACATTCTTTGCTGAAGGCTGGTTGCCCTGGACTTTTGGCTTTACTAAAGCATCCAGTTTCCTGGAATTGGCTGTATCACCTTCTGATACTTTGAGTTCTCGGTGCTTTTATTTGTATGGTTACGTTCTCCTTAATTCATGGTGAAAAGTGATTACTGACTGACTTCTTGCAAAGGAAACACACAAAAAGGCTCCTCCTACTTAGACACCATTTCCACTTCTTTTCAAAATTTCAAAAACAGCTTAATAACAAAGTGCTGCCCCATATTGCGAAAAGGCAATGTTACAAACTAAAAATTTAACATTTTTCCTTTTTAGTGACATATTAATTATAATTTCTATTAATAATTATGGAAAATATTAAATTTTTTAATTCAATGATTATTTCCTGATAACCCTGTATCCTCCATGATAGATAAACTAATCATGGAGGTAAGAAAGGAAGGAGGGGCCAACTCCGTACTACAAATGAAGCACTACTCCGAGGCTTCGGTCTCCAGATGGGGTGTTTTTTGTATACATTCAGAAGCTCCCTTGACAGCGCTTTAATAGTATTTCGACAGACACACACATAATAGTATTTCATACAAATCGAAAAACGGGACACTTTCGCATAAAAGAAACATTCCTTGTGTGATGGATAATAGCAATTTGTATAGTTTAATGACATTTATGCAAAAATCCCATCTCGATTATTTTTCGATAACTGACAACAGCAATTTTGATTATGAATTCGTTTTATAAAATTCTAAGCTGTTGAACTACAAAAATATGATTTTAGCAAAAATGTTCTGCTTAAAGAATGAAAATCCCTTACGGTGCCTTTAAAATTGTATACGTCTTTCGATACCCTAGATAAGAGTATTCGCTACTTTTATTTTATGTTCCAAACGCTAAGATGTTTTAAATTAAATAAATTTATTTGTCATCCGCATATTATTGTAACATGTACTTTTCAAAAATTTTTGAGGAGAGCTTTATAGTTACTAAAACTATCACCAAATGCTACAATCCTCTTCAAAATTAATATATATACACACAGATATGCCAATAAATTAACTTTTCCTTGATTTGTAACCACGCATTTGTGTAAAATTATGTACAGTTTTACACAAGATACATTTGCGAACTCGGCGAATGAAGCAACATTATACAGAGTAAGGCAATCAAGATTGCGATCTGATGACAATGCGGTTAATGTTTAAATGTGAAATGGATTGTTGAGGTGCCTAGAGAACAGGCACAATTGTTGAAGGACCTGAAGACCTACATTGGTTTCGCATCGTGCTTCTTTCGAGAATTTCATAAAGTGAGGCGTTGTTATCACTGACAGGCCTTTGGTCATTTAAGTCGAATTTGCAAATATCCACCAGCCTGTGCAAAGTGCGGGAAGGGCCACCTTACTCAGGAGCGCTCTGAAAGTATTGAAAATTGCGTCAATTGTAGAAAAAGAAAACTGGATTATAAATCCATTCTGTTCAAATGTACCTGAAATTTTATCTCATGAAGAAAAAGAACAATTCATAGAAATTTCCTGTGATCGAACTCTTAACTGAAGATTTCAAAAATAACACACTTGCTAACTTTTGGTGAACTCAGAAAAAGAATTTCAAGGCATTTCAAATAAAGCTATTAAATTTTTATTTCCTTTCTTCACAACCTACTTGTGTGAACAAGGATTTTTCTTCCATGTTATATTTGAAAAATAAATACAGAATAAAATTAAAAGTGGATCCTAATTTACAGTTAAAACTAAGTCAAATAAGACCAGACATAAAAAAAAAAATTGATATCTCTTAAAAATGCCCAAATTTTGCATTTAATTTTAAAATTACAGTACTATAACTTGAATTTTGATAATTAAAATGGTAACCAATTAATCTAATATTTTTTATGTGTAGATATACAATACAAATAGTGAATAGGTTGTGCAAATGGCAAAATATTTTTTTTTAATATTTCTATTAAGAAATTGAAAAAAAATCATTGTAAAATGTAGTGATGATACTAAAGTTTTTCAATTTTTGTTTAGGTGGTACATGTTAGTCAAAAGTTTGAGAACCACTGTTCTAGATTATATGAAAGCTGGTATTATTTGCACTTTTCTGAAGCCATAACTAAGAACCTGTTGTTAGTCACTAAATCATAGCCACATATCCAACTCTCATCATCAGTTATTATTCATGCTTCTAGGAAAAAAGACTTCTAGGAATAATGCTCACAGGAAAAAAGCCCAGACAGAAATATGCCCACATAGATAAAAGCTCACATGGAAAAATATGCACACTTAGAAATATGTTCAAACGGAAAAGACCTCACATAGAAATACGCTCTCATGAAAATAAGCCCACTGATAAATAATTCACATAGAAATTTCCTTACATTAATGAATCAATAACTAATAGATTTGAACATTGTACAACTACTTGAATTTTCTACAGAAAAATATTTAAATTACCAAAATATCTATGGTATATATTTCAGAAACTGTATAACTTATGTGTAAATTGAGTTGCTAAATAAGATTAACAAATGGGCTGTTTTGAATTAAGAAAAGAAGAGGAGGAAGGAAGTAAAAATGAAACAGAATATGCAGTTTTTAATTGTGAAAAATAAAATAATAATAAATATAAGTTACATATTTTGTAAAATAATCAAATAGAAATGATTATTTTATTCAAATTACATAAAATATTTAATTTTATCATTGATTTCATCATACTTTCTTATGCAATTCGCAATTACCAAATGTAAGGGTTTATTATTATTATTTTTATTTTTATTTATTTTATTTTATTTTTTTTACTGCAGTACATCTTGTATTTACCTTTGCTAATAACAAGTGGTTGAGAGGCTAAATCTTTTTTCAGTCTGTCAAATAAAACCCACTGGGATGGCTACAATTAAATAATGAATTTAGTACGTTATGAAAGCCTTCGCAACAATTTGTGGCTTTAGGAGATTTTGCCTTATCCCAAATGACACATTGATAATGTCAGTAATTTCCTTTAATGATAACTTAATTAATCCCTTTACCAATAAGGCACTGAATTTCTTCAATTGAATGCATAAACATGTTCCATTATTGTGCTCCTAACAGTTTACTCTAATTGCTCATCTTCTTCTGACATTCTAAGCCTCTGAAACACATGTATTACTTAAGACATCTTAATTCAATTCATTGCTGTTATTTGGTGAAACATTTCAGCAGTCTCTATTATTAATGGAATAAACTCCTGTAAAAAATATCAGTCCAAACTGTTATTCTTATTTACAAGAACAATTTGGATATTAACATATTTACAAGCATATTATTCAACTTGACCGGAATAATATCCTAGTATATACAGATGATTTTGTAGAAGAGGATAAATATTGACCCTAAATTAGCATTTATTTCCTTAAAAATAGTCCTTATAATTAAAGTTTCTCAGAATAAGCTATAATATTTTAAGACAATTTGATACCACCAGTGGAAAGACAAGTGGAGTGGATTTAATATAAAATTCAACTTTTCATATGGCTTTCATGCAGCAAAATTTCCTGATGTTATACTATACTCATGATCCTTATAAATTAAATATAAAATATTTTAGACTTTTTAAATGACCAATTCATGAAGATATTCTAAAAATAGAAAAATAAATTTACTGCCTCAAGACAATTTTTCACTGCTTATTATCTACTGAAATTCAACACTTTTCAATCACATTTAGTTAACAAGTACAAAACAAAAGTTTTTTGTTTTTGCATCAGCGGTACCTTATTGGTTAGAATAGCCCTCAATATTAAATTTACAGTTGGTTACATAAAAATATTTATCATCAAATTCTGAACTTAAAAGCAGACTTTGTATTTTTTACTTTTTTATGTTTACATGAAACTCCTATCTACAGTGAGTCACTTTTCATAAAATTCTCTCCACTGTTTTGGAAAATTGTAGCTAGATATGCATGTCTAGGGCCAATATTTTAGAAAATAAAAACTACACACAATTAACTATTTTGAATACCATAATGTTATTATGATAATAAACATAATTTAGTTATTAATGACAAATAAAAAGATAATTTAATTCTCTCTTGCATTAACATTTTATTCAACAAACTGATACTGAAAATATATAACAGATTTTATGCTAGATGAATTATAAGCACCACTTAAAAACATTACAATTTTTTAAAAATTCATTATTTTATAAAATATACATTTTATACAAAATTTTTGTTCTTATAAAGTAATTATCTGTACAAGTAAGATACAAATGTAACTAACATTCAAATAATTCCTTAAAAAACTTTGAAGCACCATTCAAAACATAAATTCAAAGGCCAAATTTCTTTCTAAAATGTACATATTAAAACATAAATACATAACAGTATTTTACACAGTTTGATCAGCAAATTTTACCTGAGATTGAAGTAGAGATAATTAAATTTACAGCAACTTATTGCTTTGAAGTATCATGCATTATTTTTAATTTGTACAAACATTACAGGTAAAAACAATTCAAAACAAATTTAACCTTTTGAAACGTGAATGATTAATGTAATTGCTTAAAGGAAATGGGAAAATAACATCTAAAAGACAGCTGCTTCCTTTAAAGAAAAAATTCATTACAAATATGGCTAAGTTTCATTCTACATATTTTTTGCACTATAATTAATTCACAACTGATGGCTTACAAACTAGGAAGCAAAATTATTTTGTTAATATTCTTCTAACACACAAAACTGCCAGATAATCATAGGAAAGAGTTCAAACTATGTAAATTCTAATTTACACTATTTAGACATCATGTTTCCATTAAAAAAATACATATAATATAAAAAAACTACAACCTAAGTTTAATTTTCTAGCTTTACAAAATTTTAAACAAAATCTTATTTCATGCTTTGGTAACATAAGCTGAATAATAAAATTACCTGCTAAACAATGCCAGTTTATAAAGCAAATGTATTTTATTTATGTATTAGTAAACACTTAATCTCTATAAGAAAATCTAATCACTTAAAAGTTCTGAATTGTTCTTATAAAAGTAGATTTACTTTCTAGAAAATCTAACAAACACTACACTGATCTCATGTGTAATGCACATTAAAGTGAAGTGCACTTTAGTTATTTCTTGACCTTCTGCACATCAAGACATCAAATGAGCAATACAACTATTAACCTCCCCCCCCCCAAATAATTTTAAAAACTTAAAAATTTTTGCTTAAAAAAAGAAGAAAAGAAAAGAAGGTAAAGAAATTTAATGACTAACATTCCTTTCCTAATATATGGAAAAAAAAAAATTTGAATGCATCACAAGTACAACTGAAAAGCTAAGCTAATTTACAATATTTTTCTAATAATATACTTAACCTTCATATGTATATTCAAATTATTCATTTAAATTTTATCAAGCATAAATTTTATCAATCTGAATGCTCAGCAGACCTGCAATTACTGTTTTAATAATTCACTTGTTGCCTATTTTATATATTTGTTTACATCATATTTACATCTAAATCATCTTGGAGTATTTCACATTTATGTGTTAATTTTTATCAATTGTCCAAGCAATTTCAATGGTTTCAAATTTAATATTTCAACTCTGTTGCATGAAGATAAGTAAAGCAGTAAGCTACATGCAGGTATCGGAAGAGAAATCAATGGAAATCCTTACTTTATAAGAATTCACAGCTTCCTTTATTTATCAATATCAACAATGAGCATTTGAGAAGCTACATTTAATTCACAGTAATCTGAAGAGTTGTTACATAAGCTAGTCTTTAAAATGTTTCATTCTATGTAGAATTTAACTAAAATTATAAAATATACTATTATACTACTGCCAATTCATACAATATTATTTATAGTTTATTTCACATCTAAGAATTACACACACACACACACACACACACAAAAAAAAAAAAAAAAAAAAAAAAAAAAAAAAAATTCTTATCTTTTTTTGAAGAAACCTATTTCTTCCAAAAAAATTTGTTTAATTAAAACTGATTAATACTTCTTAGAACCTAAAAACAGCATTAAATAATTGATTGCCCTTTCCTCATACCTTCAAGCCTAATATGATATTCTGCTTTTCCAAAAGATATTCACATATCTTTTGGAATAAATATAATCCTATAATAAATTTTAGAAAAAAACTTAAATTTGCACCTTTCTTACATCAGCCTTCTGGCAATTTAAGAATAGAAATTAAATAAGTCTCCATGACAATTAAATAAAATAAATGATAAAAAAAAGAATACCTTATAGCAAATTACAAAAAGAAAATAGAGATCTCGTCTTTGTTTGCAATAAATTAATTACCTTTATCAGCAATTATAAACAAAAATTAATTCTCTATATTTAGCTTCAAACATAAAAGTTACTTCAAAACTACATGATTCTTTATGCATGCAATACAGCTTATGCATAAAAATTCTATTTCACATGCAAAAAAATAAGCATTTAAGAGGGTTCTTTAATTGAAACATATTTAAAAAAAAAAAAAAAAATCTATCGCTCAAATAGTGCCTAGTGAAAACTTGCAATATTTTACTTTCATATTTTTGCAATATTTAAGCAAAAATAAATTTTAACTCAGATTTTATAGATATACATGGATAAGGATTATAAGTATATATCATATAAGCAAACATAAATTCTCAAGTTTAGTTTATTTTTGAAAAAATTTACAATTGAAATACATTTTTATTATATTTTCTTGGCTTTCTAAATTAAATCTTAATATATATATGACATCCCAAATTATGATTACTAAATTTTTTTAATAAAATTTTCCTCTCATTCAGTTAATATTAGTTTTTGTTTCATAGATTATTCTATCATTTGCATACAAAAATTCCCAATATCATTTGCATTAACATTTTTGAAAATAGATTTCTGGATATGAAATTATATATCTGATAACTTTTGCTAAAATTTTAAAAATATGCACAGAATAAAAACAGATTAAAAAACCTGAGTTGTAGCCTTGACAGAAGTTTAGGCATATACTGATATTTAATAAAAAACAGACATTTTCCATGAACAATTATAAAACTTTTGCTGAAATTTAATTCTTTTTAAATTTCATATAATTTTTAAAATAACAGCAGATATTAAATTTCAGCATATTCATGTAATGTATAAAACTTATAATTAATTATGGTAATTTCACTCTCAGTTTTCAATAAACATAAAAAATATAAAATTAATTTCCCCAAAATGAAAAAGGTTAGATCTCCTTCATATAAAAATAGTTTGAAATTCCACAGTTCTGAAAAATATTATTTATTAAGAGAATTCATTTTCATTTGATATTAATAGTTACATCTTTTTTACAAATACTTTAAATTTTTAACATATAACAAACCTAATTATTGCTCACAAAAATGGAAAATTCTATACCAGTCACAAAATACTCTAAAACCAGAATGGAAAACATTTTTAATTATAAACATAAATTAAATCATGCTAATCTTTAAAGCTAGTTTTATTTACTAAAGGTTTTAATTTTTTTTTAAATGCTCTTCTACACTTTTTTAACATTTTAGATTTTTGAAATCATTTTAAAATTTTATTTTATTTTTTTAAAATTTTTATTAAGCAACTCTGTTGGTAAAAATTAACAATCATGAACATTTTGCATAGATAAAATCTCCATTTGGCCTTGAACTCTAGTGCAGCTTCACAGCAGTTTAAATCAAATAAAGAAACACACAGAAAATTTAATGCCACAGTTAAGTTCAATAAGCAAAAGTAATGTATGAAAAAATACATATTCCATTGGCTTACAGAATAATAACATACAAATTAAACAAAAACTGTAATGCAAATAAGAATTTAGAAAATTCTTGAAATGACATATAAGAGAACAAATATGTGGCACACGAATAGTATTTTAAATAAATTTAACTCTGTAAAAAACGAAAACAACATAGTGGCAGCAAAAAAAGAAATTATGAAAAACTAATGATTTTTTTTAACAAAATAGCTCTTGATCTCCATCATGACACTTTTATATTACATTTATCAGATCAATTTATGAAATGATTTCTTTTTCCCTCTCCATTAATGCAAAGCTGCAATTTCTAAAGGAACACACTTTTTTCATTAGTTTGTATAGCAGCACCATTAATACAGCAAATATAACAACATAGGGTTTGTACAAACTTTTTTTGACTTTGGCATTGAAAAGGCACACACATCACCTCGATTTATTGGAGGGAATAAAATTCAAACATTAAAGGAGATCCTTCTTTTTTCTGCCTTTACGTATATCTTCTTCCCGCAAGTTGGCTCTTCTCCTATATGTCTCATTTAATTCCTCCTCTCCTACAAAAGCTACTTCCTTCATTTCTAGAGCTTCAGCCTTATCTGAATCATCTACATCCATCACATCTTGTGAGTCTGGTGATTCTAATCCATCAAGCAAAGCTGTTGCTTCAGCAAGTGTATCCTTAAAAAAAAGAAAGTGAGAAAAAGAAAAATTAAAGATACAAATACCTTTACAAAATCTGATGTGGCCAACACATGACTTCCCACCAATTCCATGTTAAGTCATGGAACTGGCAGAACAGCAATGACCTTTAATTAAATCATCACTTCTGGTTAATTGTTTGTGAATAAATTTGCTTATTAACTTTATCACTAATTGTTATAAAGATTATCATTATTTAATTATAAAAGACTATTCCTTCTTTATTCTGTCATACAAAGGGCAATGATAACTGTATGTGCTTATGAACATATCTGTTTTCATGCTTTGATTCAAAATATTGCACTGAACATAGTATACTTTGATCCCACAGCATTTCAGATTCACAAACCAATCAATTTAACAACCACAAAATTTTTAAAAGTAGCATATCTTTAGAATTCCTGCCAGAGTATTAAGTGTTGCCATACATTTCTTTTTCAGTCTTTTCTCAGTTTATGATATAATTGTTCAGTTTCCTTAATAAGATGACCAAATATTTTTTATTTGTATTTATTTACTAAATATCACTTTCTTTGCACTTACACCACATAAAATTTGATTAAAAAAATCTTTAAAATCAGTATATCTTTAAAATCTTCAATACAGTGTTTCTGGTTGCCGTATGTATTTTTTTTTTTTAATATATTTACTACATTATTTCTTTTAAAATAATGCAGCATGATAACATTTGGTAGCAACATCCTTTACTTTAAAAAATGATTTGACATGAAAAATTTAAAAAAAATACAAAACTGAGGATAGAGGCTTAGACATTTAAATGCAATGCCCATAAGGTATGGTGGTTAGAGAAGCCTACTGTAGTACAAAATGGCCCAAGTTCGAATTCCACAGAAGGCATGGCTGTATTTGTCTGTCCCTTCATAGGAGGCAACAGTGACCCACCTATTCAGTGTTATCACAATAAAACAGACTATTTGGGTGGGGGGGGGGCTAATATAAGCTCATCTTCACATTGAGCTTATTCTTGTTGCAGTTAGCCTAATTCCAGGAATCATAAAATTGCTTCATAATGAAAGAGCTCATCTTCATAAAGCTAATTCCACTTGCATTGAGCCTAATTCTAAGAATAATAAGCCTAATTCCAAGAATACATTTAATGCTTATAAATGCAATATGTTATTTTTTCTCAATCATATATTTATTTTAAATATCAAATCTGAGAAGTTTTTCCGATTATCTCATAAGATTTTTTACACAAGTTTGTTCCTTCAAAATATAGTGGCTTAGTATTATACTTTAACAGTCTTGCCTTTGACGGCATAAAATACAGGGACACAGTTCCTATTATCTGAAAGAGCAGCCATGAAGGCCAAATCATACCCTCCTCCCTCCACCCCCAGGCTGAATATATTGGCTTAGTATTATTGTCTGATGGTCTTGCCTCTGATAGAATAAAATATACAGCAGCATTGGTTCTTATTTATATGCCTCTCTGAGGAGCCTTTCATCTAATATGCAGGTAAAGGCGTAAGCATGTGTAGTGCCTAAAGACAGAGTACATATGATAATTATCATTATTATTTATGAAATAACAGTGGTTCATCATTTTTGCAAGACACTATATTTATTGTAATTCAAATACAGGACTTGTATTTTTATCGTATTTATTTCTACAAAGATTATGAAATTAAAATATTAAATATTTTTATTTCGATGAATAAAAACATAACCCATAACATTTTTTTAAATTATGAAATAGAATTGTGTTTCATTTCCTAAGCACTTCAACAAATTATATTTGAACTTTTAAAAAAGATTCCTTATATTGTATTAAAATTAAACACAAATTAATTATTTTTTTTTGTCTAAAACAAATTCATAATTTCTTTCTGTTCAACCAAAATTATATCAGATGTTATTTTTCATTGAATAAGAGTAATAAAACTAATGATATATTGTTAAATTATTAGTACCCTGATCAGATCAAAGCAGACAGATAAAACATAATTTCTTTCCCCTTACATGGCTGACAAAGACTGTAAATCAACCTACATGTCATATACATTTACATTAATTTAATAGCTTTTTAATAGAATCATATGTTGCCCTGGATAGCATTTTTATGTTACTTAAATTAATTAAAAATTTTAAAATGTAATGAAAGATGTTTAATTTTAATTAGCACAGAAAGAAAAACACAAAAAGTGTAGTAGCACTCCCTTACACTCCAATCCACACGTGCTGAATGCATGGCTACAAAAATTTGCATACTTTGGTATAATGAAGATAATTCCCTTTGAATTACATGATAATGTTGGATTTTGCTTACTACAATAAATTGAAAGCAAAATTTTCAAGTTGTTCATTTAATTTTTCCTACCTGTACAAATTTCAATAGCCATTCTGAAAATACAATAATACAGCTGACAAAGCAAAATAGCTGCCCATGAAAGCTCTAAGAAAATGCAGCATACATTAATGTAGATTTTAAACTTTAGTAATCTGTAATAATTGTTATTATTACTAGATATTTACTCTGGATATTTCAATCAGTTCCTCAATGAATTAACCAAATAATAATATTCATAAATTTAATATTTATAGCATTTTCAAAATTCTGAAAAGTACAAACCTGTGCACTAACTGTCCGTTGAAAAGTTTTAGTGTTTGAATCTTCATTTGAAACAGAAATATTTGAAGGGGTCCAATAACTGTGTTCTGACATCATTTTTCTCAACCAATTTACAGCCCATTGCCACTTGTTTGGTGTTTGTAACAAATAATCTTTAACCAATGGGCATCTGCAAAAAGTATTTACATTTTAGAAGTTCATAACATAAAACACATAACTAATGCACTTTATATTCAGAAATAACATTAAATAACATTTCTCGCTTCCTTAATATTAGCTTTTCTAATGACTTTCTTCATTAGCACTGCACTGTAGTAACTTGTTATGATATAGTATTTAATATTCACTGATAATTTAAAAAAAAACGTTCATGCAGCACATTTCAATAAAATAATATTACATTTAAATGATGTAATAAAGACTGAAGAACTTAACACAAGATCATGACTTTTAAACATTTCAATATCCAATGTAATTAAAGACTTAAAATAATAATAATAATAAATAAATAAAAGTCACTATGGTTGCTGTACTAGAAAAATGGTCTCAAAAGTATATGGCTAAAGGAAGAAGTATCTCCTGGAAAGATTTTCTGTTATCCATATTTACATTACTCACAAAAAAAAAAAAAAAAAAAAAAAAAAAAAAAAAAAAAATTTCCAACTATAATTGACTGCATAAATGCTTTAACCACTCAATAAATATCAGTTGAAGAGATATACTGTAACAGTAGCAAAAAACACCATATACAGGGGAAAAACACAAATGTTTAAAAGTTGTTCTCATGCTCTCATTAAGATATTTATTTGTTTAATTTTAATCACATTTCATTCGAATTTGTCATTCTGCATGCACACATTTTAACAAGATAGCTAGTTGGCTGTAAATGAAAATTATTAATGAATATATAATAATTCTAAATTCTACAATGAACAAAATCTCTTGATTAATTTATACATGCAACTAACCCATTTTAAGTGACAAATTTGGAAACAAATACTAGCAAAAGCTAGTAATTTACTCCAAATTTAGCACTTAAATGGTTTTCAGATCACCAGATTACCGCAAAGGCTAAATCGAGAATAAATTATTAATATTTCATGAACTGAACCACGTGGCAGGTTGCAGACCATAAAACACATAGCAAGATATTCCCCCCTCTATTTACATTCACAGGATGTTCAGAAAAAAATGCTTATGGTTTTATCTCTTTAAATACTGATCCCAAACATTCATTTCCAGTTACAAAGTTTCTCCAAATGAGATAGAGAATTTTATGACACTATAAATGGGATGATCTCCTAAACATAACTCTTTATAAAGCTTCTCTATAAAGAAAATCAAAACTTATGAAACATACACTATGCTTTCATGAATTAAACGCAAAACATTCTATATCTTTATATGCAAAATTCTCAAAGATATATAATTAATAACATGGGATTAACTATAGATTTAATAATGGCTGATGTTTTAACAAAATGTTGAAAGATTAATCATCAAAATGAGTAAGTTTTGTTTTGTAGTTGTCCTGTACTTGTGGTAAAAAAATTTTGAATTTTGATCACTAACAGGAAATAAAGAATCAAAAGATCTGGTTTTCAGACATTTTGTAGATGACAGTCCTTTATCATAACTAAAAGTGTAATGTACCCTGCTCCAGAGGTCATTTCTACAGAAGCTAGGTCTCAAAATATATTTGCAGCTACCTGGCAGTACTCATTAACATTATTCTTTATTCAGAATCATTAGGATCAAAAATGAAATTAAATGACATATTTTACTACAAAATGCAGTCATACTTTTTAGTAATACTTTCAAGAATGGTTCTAATAAATATTTCTAATAAAAAATTTGAATTATAATTCAAGAAAAAGTTCAGTGATTAACCCTTTTTTTTTTTTTTTTTTTTTTTTATTCTATGAAAATGTTGTTTGAATGGCCATAGTTTTCTTATATTCTGTCCTCAAAATGACACTTTCATGTAATCCAATTCCATATTTAGCCAGTTACACCATTTATTTTTTGGATTTACTGCGGACTAACTATGTTTACACCCATTCATTTTTGTAAATGACTTAGTATCTGCATTAAATATTATCCCATTGATCAAGAAAGCTGGCAGAGATAATGCCGAAGTTGTGCCAATCATTTCTGTGGAAATCTGGAGGAACGTCTGTTTACTTATTAAACATTCGGTATTCAACCACCTTCATTTCTGCCAGGGATAAATAGAAGGGCTAGGTCATTCCTTTGTTCAACTCCTTTCCGACGCGAGCCTCATGGAGGGGGGGGGGACTGGAAGTAATCTGATGTGCCTCTGTTGCACCTGCTCTGATTTCGCGCCTTTAAAACTGTAGTTTCATCCAGTTGTGAGACGATTTTCTGGAGATCGCATATCCCAAATTAATTTTAATCATACATATTTTTTTCTAATAATGCAAATATTTAAAATAATTTGTGTATATATATATAATTTTTAGTCAGTTTTTCTTTTAAATTCTATATTTAAGTATCCTTTATGTATATGGCTTCTTGTGCTGTAGCAACGTGCCGTACACTTATAGAAATCGAAAGGAAGAGATTTGTATTCGTGATTTCCCCCCAAGGACAATTTGCTTTTGACGAAAGAATGGATACATAAATGTCGAAGACCAGGATTCTATTAATGTGAAAAACGCAGATTTGCAGCGAACATTTTTCGTGGCAGTGATTATGAAGACAGACATTTGCTTGCTTGTTTGCGCACAAAGTCCTGTTTATGTATGATTATGACGATGATATATGAAAAGCCGAGATGCAGCAAAATGAACCAGAGAGCAATGATTGCGCCGGCAAAGTTGCTGTAATAATAAATGAATAGAATGAATTTTGAGGAGATTGAAAAAGAAACTGTTGAAAAATACCTAATGTATGCAGTATAAATAATCATGACTTTGAAAGACTACGAATAAGCCAAGAGAAAATTTATTTGAGGCGATGAAATTGAAGCTGAACAATAATAAATCAAATGTGAATGATTTGAAATAAAACTCACAACTGACAATGCCCTATGTGACAATATCCATGAATGCCTAATGTAACAAGAGTAAAGATAAACAGAATGTATGATAATTGAAGAACAGAATAATATCCTTAGAAAATTGTAACAAATTATTGAAAAATAGAGAAAAGAAAAATTTTAGAATGTTTGCTCAGAGACAAAAAAGGTGGATGACATCTAGAAAGAAATTTGTATCGGAAATTCAGAAATTAAAATCCCAAACAGCGAAATTTAGGAAAAAACAGCACAGACTGGAGAATTTGGATAAACGTCTAAAGCATAGACGCATTGCTAGAAAAGAAGGAAAAAATCAGGTGGGACTAGTGAAGATATTTCACGTTGCATTGTCATAAAGACTCTGTCATCTAAAAAGCTACGATTTTTGGAAAGAAAAAATGGGAATTCCTTTACCTAGCATTAGCACATTAAAGAGATGGTGCGCTAAATTTTCATGTAGTCCAGGAATTCAGAATGATGTTCTTGCTGTAATGAAGGAAAGATGCGAATATTTGAATTCTGTAAAAAAAAAATATGCGTTCTCAGTTTTGACGAAATGCACACAGATTCTAAACTCTGCTATGACTCTAAACTGGACCAAATGCTCGGTCCTTTTCAAAAAGTGCAGTTTGTTTTAATCAGAGGTCTCATTTCACAGTGGAAACAATCAATGTTTTTTTATTTTAACACTCCAATGTAGAAAGAACTTCTTTTTTCACTCATAAGACATATTCAATCATCTGAAGTAGAAGTGAAAGCAATAGTGTCTGATTTAGGAGGATCTAGTACTTTGTGGAAAGAGTTACAGATTTCGATTAATAGTTCTCAGTTTCCAAATCCAGTATTGCAAATGAAAAAAATATGGGTTTTTGCAGATTTAGCGCACTACCTTAAATTACTGAGAGACCTCTTTTAGATAAAGGATTTGTTTTAGAAGATGGAACTGTTTTAAATGTTGATATTATTAAAGAGATTTTAAATAAAGATTCAGTAGAAATTAAATTGTGTCACAAACTAAAACCAAATTATTTAATGGTCAAGTGAAACGAGAGACAAAAAGTCGCTCCAGCGAAAACATTATTTTCAAGAACTACCGCGAAAGATATACTCCACCTCTCAGTAAATAAAAAAGCATCCAACTTCTTTGAGTTAATCGACAATTTTTTCGATATTATGAATAAATAGTACTAAAACATACCCTTCTTCAGATAAAATACTTAAAGCAACATTTGGATTAAATGAACATCATGAAAAACAAATTCAAGTTTTGAAATTAATGAAGAAATCGTTGGTGGATTAAGAGTTCAGGAAAAGGCAACTTATGTCTTTCCAAAAAGGAATATAATTTCAATAAATTCTCTTTTTGGCCTACACCAGGATTTGAAATCATCGTATGATGCTAAAATATTTTAACCTCTAGATTAACTCAGGATGCACTTGAAAGTCTCTTTAGTCAGATTCGAGGGCTTGTAGGTTTAATGACCATCCACACCTAGTGAAGTTATACGCCGCTTAAAGAAATTAATACTCACTAATAAGCTGCCAAATTTATCTTTAAAAGTATGCATGACTAAAGAAAGCAGAAATATTGATTCATATTTAACATCAGAAATACTTGAAAGGGCTTTGAAAACTGAGGAGGAAAATGCTTTTCCATTAAATACTATTGATGATTTGGATTTCATAGAGGAACCTTCTCCTATGGCTTGGGAATTAGAATTGAATTCCGACAGACAATTTTCGACAGCCAAAAAAGAAGCATTAACATATGTTGCAGGTTATACTGCCTATCGTGTGCGAGACAAAGACCCATCATTGTGAACAATATCTAAAAACAGTGCGATGAACCAATATTTAATTCAAATGGATTAATTATTGTCCTTAGGAGATTTGACACACCTTCTCATTCATGGATGAATACAGTTTTATGAGTTTGAACATATTTTGTTCGTTCATGGTACACTTACTAAAGGGGAAGCATGTAATTGGCTCTTTTAATTAATAAACTGGAGAAACATTATCCGAAGTTAACAGAGAAGCAATTCGTTTATTTTGCAGAGTGAGAACTTTTATTAGAATACATTTCTTAAATAGAATGCATATGTTTTTTCCCAAGAAAAGCAACCCAAAAGGCAAAAAAATGGATTGCTTTGAATGTGGCAGCCAGCGTAAAGCATATTTCAAATGAGAACTAATTCTGTTAAGTTATTGTTACAGTTATTTTTATTGTATCCTCTGTTTTATTGATTCGATTTTGTGCTAGCTTAGCATTCTAGATAATATAATATAAAGTATAATATTAAAGTATTGGCATAAGAAGACCTTGCCCCTTAACCTCCCTCTTGAAAAATTAAATATTATTTTAGGTACTGTGAGTAAAGTTGTTTTGTCTAAATTAAGATATAACAATCTACATGTATTTATTTAGATGAAATGTGATGTAGCCTAAGTTACAAAATTATCTTAAAAAATATATGTTATTATATTGAAACGGGAGAAAAAATATGCCAACGTAAAATTTACAATTAGGCTGAAACTCAAACTTAGCTTAGCAGAATTTTTGCCATATATAACCATATATGTTTAAAAACTATGCCATTTAAGGTTGTTTTTTGATTAATTTTAAATAGCTGTTATTATAGTTATCTTAGAAGCAGTATTTTCTTAGTTAACATGCAGATAAAGAAATGATTAGAACCAACAGGCATTTAAGAAAAAAAAAAATCCCTGCAAATAAAAAAAAAAAAAAAAAAAGGAACTTTATGCTAAGAGTAGCGCATTTTATCTATTATTTTAAATTGAGTAAGTACTATTAAATTTTTTAATGTTCAGTGTAAAATGCATACTGCAGTAACATTGTCTCTTCCAAATTATAGCTATCTTTCACACACAGCTCATTTTAAACGCTGGTTCTTCAAATTTAAAACGCTAATTTCTATGTTGTCATTTGCATCTCTGTGCTCAGTGGCATCATTGCTACGTCATCACTCCCCACTGCCTGTTTCAGGGGGAAACGCTCTATGAGCTAGCCGTTCTCTTTTAAGTCCTGCAATTTTACACTTCATAAAAAGATTTTTGTTGATTTTTACTATTTTGTTCTCCAATTTCTCTAAAGTTCTGTTTAAAACGGTAAGAGTATAAACTTCCCATAGGTAATTGTTCCAGTCTATTACTGTTCTGACGATCATATTCAGCTGACCGTACCTTGTCTATTAACTTAATCCACTGCTTACTGTTCTGTAGAAAGCAGGTCCCAAATTTGAATCATTTCTTTTAAAATGTAGGAAAAAAAAAGTTCAGCAATATTCTTGTTTATAAAAATAAAAGGAGACTTATCAAGAACCAATTTCTTACATATGACAAAAGTGCAGATATTACGAGTGTGTGCTGTCATGTTACCATTACCAAACAATGCAGTTTAGTTCCATAAGTGGACTTAAACTGCATTGTTTGATGAGTTTTATGGTCAACAGGATAATACACTTGTACTTAACAACCCCCCCCCAAAAAAAAAAACAGAAACATGGAAAAAGAACACGAGAAAGGCAGAAAAATGTTCAGAACCTAAAAAAAATTTGATAAAATATTCTAACTTAAAGGAAATTAAAAATATGTTGGAGCAGTAATGGAAGATATTATTTGAATATGGCACAGTACTTAAGAGCTAACTGCCTAAGGGAAGGGACACATTTCTGAAGGACTTCTTAAAGGAAATTAGCTTATACTCCTATTCCACATAGAGAAAATCATGAAAAACACACATTCATTAGGTTCAAACCTTAGTCGAACTACCATTATTCAGCGGTCTTAAATATTCAGTCCCTGGTAGGGCTAATACTAAGAAGATATGAACTGCTTCCATACTGGTACTTCTGGTACCAGAAGAATTCTATGTACCATAGTCAAATGATACTGGTAATCATATACCATAGTTTTAAAACCAGTGATTTAAGGTATCATATTTACATTAATTTTTCAAAACCTTCATGAATTTTACTCGAAAAGATATATGATTCAAATTAACAATCACCAAGTTTAAACTCAGATTATAATGACATTAAAATTTAACATTAAAAAAAGAACAAAAGACTTTTGAAGACACATATAACCTGCATTTGATATAAATATAAAAACTCAGAAATTAAATCTAAATAATCACTTACTTAAGAGAAAGACTAACTAGAAATTTTACACCTTGATAAGAACGTCTACTGTCATTGGCTTCATTGGCACGAATAATAGCTATAATAAGAAGTTTTGTTAAAATTTATGCACTGAATGGCATTTAAAGGATTATTACTGTCAACTAAATAAAAGTAAGGGTGCATTCAGACAGCAACATAAATGTCACAGAGGCATAATCACAAAAAATAAAATGCAGGAATTCTCTTCACAACTGCGACACAGGGTTTAAGCCGCATCCACTTAAAGAAGCTAAATTTGTGCATGCATTGGATGTGTCTACAGCTTTACTTGCTGTTTTCCCATTCAGGTTTTGTGCATTCACTTTGATTGGTTGATGCTTATTCCAAGTCGGCATAAAGTTGAAAACTTTGAACTTTATGCCAAGAGCCCTAAACCAGATTTTGTGATGTAGCACAGACTGGTTACCTGGCAACGCAGCTCAGCTTAAACCACTTATGCCCTTTATACCGTCGTCTGAAAGCACCTTATGGCGATACTACTTAACTTAGTTAAATTATGACATACATCAGTGAAGTGCCAACAGATGTAAAGAATGCTAATTTCAAATTTATATAAGAGATGTAATTTTAACACTTTTCACACTGCAGTGCACAATTTTTTTTTTAAATTAGGTACTGAGATATTATGCAAAATTTAATTTTAAAAATGCACACTACAGTATTTGTATTCAGAACTTTTATCATTAATGATTAATTAAAGTACCTTATTAGGAATTAATTAATGAAAACTTATTCATTTACACTGAAATAAGCAAATGTCAGATTTAAATGTATAATTTATATTATAATCATATAAATTTACTGCACATTGCAATAGTTTGATACCCTAAACTATGAAGGATATACAATCAACTTCTGATTACCCAGGCCTTATCTAAAAAAGTTAAATTTGCTTATATATGCATATCGATTTTCAGAAACTTATTAAATACAAATTTCTTAAAAAATTATTCATGATAAAGCCTAAATGCCAATCAATCTGTGAATAATAGCATCTGAACACATTTGAAGTCTCTACAGCACTTTCCTGCTTTAGTGTGACAAAATAAGGAACAACCAAGTTAAAAGCAATGTGTACTCAGTAGATAGAGTAAACTGACAGATTAGTATAAAAATGCAAAACAAAAATATAAAATTATGAAAGAAAAACCCCAAACCCATAAGATGGATAAGAAATCAATCATTCTTTTTATAAATCAGGAATTAATTAATCATTCATATTTTAATATAAATGATGATATAGTCTTTGAATCCATTTTTTTCAAAGTAGGTTTTTTCTAAATATATATATATTTGTGTTCTTTTTATTTACTGGTTTTAAAATTTGTATGATGTTCTTATTTTTTAATACTGAAACTTTGGTTAGTTATTATTAATAAATAACCAAGTCTCTGAAGTCAAAGTATCTTAAAAAATTAAATAAAATGAAAAATACAAATTTTTAACTTAAAAAGGAAAATAATAATCACATAATTTTTTGGTAAGAAAAAAAAAAAAAAAAGCTATAAAACCCATACAACAGAAATTTTATATTCTCGAATTTTGCAGTTTCTGAGGAAAAGGCCCATAAAAATCATGAAGTTAAATGGCACCAATGCCATCTCCTCGGCTCCTTCAGCTATTAATAGCCACTCTAAATTAATAGACAACTGAAAAGAACCCTTACTGTTTGTTTATTTTTTTCCTCTTGTAAACAATAACATTACTTCGACATGTAAAAGAATATAAGTACATAAAAAATGAACTCATTCATTTGTAATATTTCATAAAAGTCCTAACAAAAATTCAAAAAATAATTTTTTATGCAAATTTCAGGAAAGTTACATCAATATTCATAAAAATGTTATATACATTTCCTATCACACAAATTAAAAGTTATGAACATACCAAGCATGCCTTGATAGGAAGGAAGAAATTCATCATAAACACCATCCATGACCAGTTGAACACGTTTGAATTGAAGGGGATCCTCCAAAGCCTATAAAGAAAAAGATATACTTACGAAACAAAATAATAAATAAAGAAGTCATAATAGCAACAAAGAAAATGAAGCAAAGACATGTTCAACATTTCACAGAAATACAGAAACAAAGGGAAATGTATGTTTTGAAAGCAAAAGTGTGCCATATCAGTATCATCATCCAAACCTTTGGTTTTACTTCAATTAATTCAAAAATTTCTCATTGCTCCTCTTAACAAAGGAGAATAGTTTTATGAATATTAAACTATCATTTCCATAGTCATTAATTTTGAAGCACAGGAAAACTCAAATTACTGGATTTGGGATAATTGAAACTCCTTAACTATCCAGATTTCCTACTCTTTATAAATTAAGCATGCTCTCAATTTATTTATATGCTTTTAATATTTTCATTTATTTAAATAACATAAGAAAAATATAATGCATATAGTTGTTATAAGTTTACATTGCTTTATAAATCTAATGTACAAAGTCTGCCTTATAATAGTTGACAAATAAATGGTTCATAAACATTAATGGAAAAGTAACATAATACATGTAATAATAAAAGCCTCTACTCTTTGTTTACTCTGCAAGTTATAATTTCACTAGAGCAAGCACTCCTTTTCAAAAAATACAATGGGAAAAAAAAAAAATTACAAAGACATGTGCTGATCTTATGTCAGATTTTTATTTTAGCAACATACTGCACTGATCTTTTATGAGTCCTTCTGATCTAAATCTACAGCCAGATCAGTTCCCGAAAACTTATTGCAGCCAAGAAACAAGGACTGTGCCTGTTGCTGCTTGGACCACTTTGAAAATGATAATATGAGTTCAACCAGCTTTGTCTCAATTTTGAAGAAGAATCCAAGAAGGAATGTCCCCTCTTTCCCTGCCAAAAACTTCTTGAAAGGACTTTTGGCTTGACAATATTTTAAGTATCTGATGCCACAAAAACAGTATACATTTATAAACAGCTGTGCTTTCCTTGGGATTGATAGTGAGCTGAGGTAATAGCAACTGGCTTCCCTACCATCATAGCAACAGGATGACTAACTACTGTGTAACTAAATGCATTCAGTTACTTTGCTACAATTTTGGTACCTTGTTTTTCTCAATGGGACTGCAATGTCACCGGGCACAAGTACAAATTCAGAAGATAGCATGAATGTTTATAAATATATAGAGCCTCTGATGCATGGGACACCGAAAATAGATCAAGCTAAAAGTCCTCTTGAGAGGTTAGGGAAAAAAAAAAAAAAAAAAAAAAAAAAAAAGGCACTAAACACATGGATTTTATCTGAACCATCTCTACAGTTATATCGCTGACTGCTCTTCTGATTCTTCTAAATCAAGAGTAGAAGAAGCACACGTTTGTGAATGCATGGAAGACAACTGCAGTTATTCCTACAACTGAAACAGGAAAAGACCCAAGGAATCTCTTGAGCTATTGATTCAATACACTTACCAACTGTATTTGCAAATTATTTGAGAAAGGATAAGGATAAGGAATGGGGGACGTGGGCACTATGCCTCTACCATACGGTTAATTAGTATAGCACCACGTACACCATGATCTAGAGAACCCTTAAGTACATTATTGAAAATGAATGATTGGTTACAAACAATTGTTGTATACCTTGGCAGTAAAATTGTTGCATTTGTGTAAATAAATTATTTGAGAAAATAGTAAACCACAATCTAGCCTATTACTTTAGCGATATAGCTTGGTAAAATCTCTTCTGTTATTAACAAGGTGCCCAAGTGCTTGGCCAATGACAGGCACTGCTCACTTAACCACGATATATATCATAGACGAGATCTGATTCAGATCAGCAGTTTAAGCAATAGCAGTAATATTTGAAAAGTACAACAAACCAATACAATTTTAAATACATTTAACTTACAATATAGGTAGTTCATTATTTTTACGAACATTCATAATATTTATCACAAAAAGGTGTTTTCATCTTTAAAAGTTTAAAAGGAGTTCATCTAGAATGAACTCCTTTTAAACCATTATTATGTACCTCAACACAAACAAAAAAAAGTTTTTTTTTTTCCTTTTTTTTGTGTGCTGTGTGTGCATGATTAATTCTTTGTTTAAAATAAGTTTCATATTTTGTTCTTCAGCAAAAAAAAATACTTTATTTTTAATTAAAATATTTTTTAAATAAAATGATAAAAAATAAATAAATAAAACTTCCTCCTTCCAAATGAAAAACATACAAATTCATCATGAGTTACAATGAGTATATATTTGCCTTATACAAAAGAAACTACCCAATTAAGTGGAATTTTCAAACATCCAGATGCGCTGTGATATCAGTTGATCAGGAAATTTTAGAGTCCTATCCAATTTGTGGTTTTTATAATAATTATAATATCTCTAAAATGGTCACAAATTAAAGCACATTATGTCCTAGATATTAAATACAGCATTATCTAGTAAAACGTAAAAGAACTTCTAGTAAACCAAAAATGAAAATGATTTCAGGTTTCTGGAATAAACTGATACAAATAAAATAAATTAAATCAAAATTTTTGAAGCTTTATCTTTCTTTTTTAATGAAAGGCTCATAAATTACCCAGAAACATAACCCAGAAAAATACAGATTGAGAGTGAGGGGGGAATACATATTTCACACACTCCTAAATATGAAATTTTAGCCAGTTATGAGTTGGGCTTCTCCTGCAAAATAATGGGATGATTCTGTAGAAAGTGTCACTGCTTGCTTTGCAATGTTGGTCACAGATTATGTTAAAAAAATAAATAATAATACTGAGCTTAATGATTTGTCTTTCAAAAGTCTTAGTGTATAAGAAGAAAATTCCAGATTTGCAGTGTCGAGAAGAAAGGATCCATCATGCTTGTTATGAATTTGATAGTACTATACTTCACGACAAGCTCACCTGAGAACACATAGAAGGCTAGACTGATGTTTTCACAACTTTTCACCCTGTTCTTCAAGTTATCCATACGCAGTAAACTGCCCCGTGGATATTCAATTCCTCCAATTTGCTACACATTTGGCGATTTCTTGCCAAATCCAGCGTATTTAAATAACAACCGTTTTATGCAGTGAAGCCGCAGTTGAAATTGATAGTTCATCATAGTGTAAAATGCAGGGCTTGTTATTCATTGTCTTAATTTATGTGAAATATTTCACTATTATCTAAATGTGACGAATACTAATTTGATGACTTGCAGTTTTAGTCAAATTTTTTCCCCAAGACCGTTCGCTTATTTAAAAGTAAAATGTATAAATTTAGAAAATCTAGCAGTAAGTTATTTTCCTTTAATTTTTAAGAGTTTATGCAGCTTGTTGCTACCAAAACAGTGAACGAGGGGGAAATTTTTATTTTTATTTTTTAAAGACGTTAATTTGATTTTAATTTGTGATATAACTGTGACAATATTTTATAGCAGACATTATGAAAATTATATCCTGTATTAATTGTCTCTTAAGACACATGCATTTCCAGTCAGTCTCAGAAAATCACTCTCCTACAGTACGTTTTATCTTATCTTTCTGGTTACTGTTTAAAATCAAAAATAAAATGAAAAAAAAGACTGGAAATTGAGATCTTCAGATTGCAGTCTATTACAGAGCTTACCATTAAAATTTTCAAGGTATTAGAAAAATATTAAAGCTTTAAAATTGTGAAACAAACATAAGAATTAAGAATGAAATGATTATATACCAATTAATTAATTCATATATCAATTAATTCCACTAATCAATTAAAATTATAACATTAGAAATGTTTTATATTAGTTACAAGAAAGTGCAAATATTCATAAGAACTAAAAAAGTATAAAAAAAATTAAATTCTTAAAAAGTGCATTTATTGCTTTTAAAACATTTACCATATTAAACGACAGTTTGATTGTATTTTAAAATTAAAGTTTTTATCCTTTGACGAATGAAATGTCTATGCGTAACGGGGCGTGAAAGGTGGGTCTTTTGCTTCGCGCAAAAGAATATATTGCTTTTACATCTCTCAATCTATAAAAGCAGACTGATTCACACTGAGAATCTGCAAATTATATGTGAATAACTGTATAAGTTATTGTGTATGACTGTATAAGTTAGGCAAAAACCATACATTTCCTTTGAGGTATAAAACCAACAAGCATATCATATGAAAAAAAAAACTGGTTATTCCTTTCCTTAGCTGGAATCATTTGCAAGTCAAGCGTATTAATGATAGAGTTGCTTAAACCGTGAAACGCTGGTAGTATGCAGCGAGTTCGTTTGTAATAGACAGAAACCCTTGTTCCTTCTACCATAGTAATTTAATGTAACCAATATGGGTACTTCAAGTATTGGTTAGGTTAGGTGATTTGAATATAGCAAAACATGCAAGAGATATCTGATTAAGGGGTGAGATGCATTTCGTGGAGGACTTTCTAAAGGAAACAAGCTCGAATTCATGTTACACATGGGCAAACCACTAAAAATGACCATAAATATAGCCTGTTCTTTTGCGCTCAAATGATTCAGCAATTTAACCACTCGGCTACTGGTGCCGAATGGTTAGTTGCCACTGTTGCCGAGTGGTAGTACTGGTGCCGAGTTCCATATTACATTTTCTAAAGGATTTGTTAGCTTGTATTTATAATGTTATTTATAAATGTTTATAGGTCTGCCTTCTTTTTTTTGGCCTTGAAAACGGCTGTTGTATTTTTAATTTGTGGCATTTGGAAAGGGCTTTTTTTTTTTAAACTGAGGTATTCAATCCTGCAAAGATTATAACAAGTAACAATATCGTTATCGTATTTATTAGGAAAATGCCCTCTCGTAATTGACAAAAACATTCATTACCATAATCTTGGCGGCACTGTTTATTCAGGTTTATGAGGTTTTCCAGCTTTATGAGGTTGAAAATTATACACATATGTCAAAGATGAAGCAGATACCATAACAACTGCTTTTTTCTCCTCCCGGTCAGTGAATGAATGAATGTCTTAATTGCTTTTCTCGTCAAGATGGGTGAGGTCAGGGTTGCTGGAATTTGCAGTTTCGCCAATAATGCCAAAAAAGGGGATGTCTTCCAGCTGGTCATTGAATAATTGACACGATTTAGCAAATTTTTAAACAAAAAGCTGGACGCAACATAATCTATCATTTCACACATTTTTTTCCTTTCTTTCTCTTTGTTCAACAGTATTCATATATCACAGCGTAAATTTTACAATATTACTTCTCGAAATGGTAGTACTATATATATGGCGGATGCATACACTTTCTTCTATATCCAGTGTTCTCAACTTAGGTTGACCCGAAGTATAGCATTGCATATATTTTACTGGAATGGCAGCTTGGACAGGATCAACATTTTAAACATGTTTTGCCAGGAACGGCATCAATGGATTGGATCAGCATTTTAAATGTCTTTGTTTTGAATGGTTTCTACAAAATCTCCAACAAAATAAATTTTAATCACCCCCACACACACAAAAAAAAATTTACACAATATGAAAAGAAAAACAGTAGTTATTACAATAGAAATAACTGTATTATCTCTCTGTTTCATATACTCCTTAACAGAAAATTGTCTCTTAAGTACATGATTTAATTTTTTTAATAATACAATATTTCCCCATTAAAATATTTATTTAATTATTATATTTTTAATGGGGTGTAGTAGCACACCCATTAAAAAATAAAAACAAATTTTTTATTTTTTAATGGGCGTGCTACAAAAATTGTGTTTAAAATTCATGTTCATTCACATTCTAAAATAATTCCTTTACTTACTAGTATTTCTAATAATAAAAAGGACAGGTTTTTCAAATCATTGGAAGGCACAGAAGCATACTGAAGCTAGAACATAAAAAAAGAACAAAGTATTACATAAATACAATAAAATCAAAACTTCTCAAAACATGAATTTATTTTTGTAGATATTTTAAAAGTGTATTAATTATTTAATAAAGTGTTTTCCATACTTGTAGTGACTTTAATAAGAATAAATATATAATTTTGTTATTCATTTATCCAGTACAAAACAAAATTATTGTGAAATTATAGAGAATAATAGCTATGAAAACAGAACAAAATAATCTAGCTAATGCCAGATCTTTCAAATTAGGCAAAAGAACAACCTTGTCTTTGATGTAGATTTAATAAAAAATTATATCGATTCTGATGGCGAACAGGTACAGGTTTTTTGTCAGAAACCAAAAAAATTCAACAAAAGCAGAATTTCTTTACTCCCAACAAAGAGAGTAAATCGACAATTTCAGTTAATTCACACCCCAAAACAAGGTTGTTCTTGTGCCTAATAAATGTTCACAAAAAAATAATTTGAATATTTTGCACAATATCCTTTTTAGCCCTCTCACATATTTTTTATTATTAAGTTTGATTTTTAACAAACTAAATTCAATTTTCATTTTACATACCGATATAAAAATAGTTCAACCAGTTCTACTACATTTAATAGTCATGATCTGCTTCACAATGATATGAATTACAAAACTAATGCAATTATTTAAATATACCTGTTTGGTAAATGTGTTAAATTATTCCGCAGTACTACAAATGTAGAAAATTACAAGTCTGTTGGCACTTATATGAATACTTTGAACATACTCATTTAGAAGCTTCATAAACTTGACAACAAATTATTGCCCTATTTTGAAGGTTTTCAATACTTTGATTTGATAGCCAATGTTTGAATTGTGAACAATGATCAAGAACTTTCTTGCATGGATTTATACTCCACCCAATTGCAATATATTTATTTGCACTCTGGATGCCTATTCTATGATTACTGGATCCGTCTACAATTTGAGCAAACAATATCGACTCAAAAAAATTGGTATGGTCAGCGGTTTTCAACTTATCAGAGAAAGCTATTCTCTGTGCCTTAGTTGCCGAGCGGGTGAGTCCATTTGACTTTATTGAAAGGGGACATTTAGACCAACCGCAGTACAGACGAGTGACAAAATTTATAGCGCTTTAAGTTCTAGGAATATTTGTAGCTCGAACAAAATTGCACAAAACAGTATTATGACCAAAATGCAGTAGAATATTCTGCTGTGTTATATGAAGGAAAATCTCGTTTTTTAAGGAGGAAGTTAATGCAGGAATTTAGAGTAAAAAATAAAGAGAGATGCGGGATACAGTGAAAGCAACGGCAAATAGATAAAGAGTAAATGAATTAAGCTTGCTTAAAATCTTTTTAGAAATAAACAATTTCAATCATTTAAATTTATAATATGACTGAATTGCATTGCAATCTAATAGCAAACTAAGCTTTTTTTCTCTTTTTTTCCCCCCATGCTTACATTAAAACTGTGTTTTCACACAATTTATTTTGCAGTTAATATTAGAAAAATATTACTTTAAGTAAGAAATTAGAAAGAAAATATTTCTTTCTTAATCTTTCTTCCTTTCTTTTATTTTCTGTTTCTATGAAAATTATTTGTTTCAGGAAAAGAAATAAAATTCATTCGTTATTACAGTATGGTATCAGCTATCACACATACATCAAAATGTTTTATTTTAAATAATTTATTCTATAATTAACATGAAAGAAAATAAATTTTCAATATCAAATATATAACAAAAATTATAATAATCTATCCTGTATGTGTGATTAATTCATATTGCAATTTTTGTCGTACATATATTAGTAATACTTTTTTTAATATTACATTGCTGTTATTTTATTTCTCATATAAGAACTGCTTATTTTAAATATTCTTCCTTCTCAAAACATTTTATATTGTGAAAATAATTAAAAGATATTAGTATTATTTTTCAATGGAAGTACTAAAGTAAAAATAATCAATGTAGGTCTCCTGCAGTTGAAGAAGTCCTTGTCAAACCAGAGTTTTTTAACACATTGACACATTAAACAGAAAACTGTAATAATAATCAATATTTCTTTTACAATATAAAAATGAGAACTTTGCTATGAACAGTTATTTATTTTTTTAAGTTGGCAAAGAAACAATGATTTTTTAATACTAATAGATTACAAAAGTACTATTTCATGAACAAACCCTCAGTCTATTATAGCATTGTTACTTTATAGCAGGCTTTCTTAAACTGTGGGTCACGACCTTCAGCAAGGGGTCGCCAAAAATTTTAACAGTTTTGATATTTCTTTAACGTATTACAATAATTTTACGATTACAAAATATTTTTACACAATGTATCTGAAAATAGATAAAAATAAGACAATACAGACAAAGAAAAATGTTTTGATGCATTTTTTTAATAATATAAACGTTAATTTTTCTTGCTTTGCACGTCACATTGTCATTTCGTTTGTTACTTTTTAAAATTTCCATATTGTTCTATGCCTTAAAATTAGAAATTAAAGTTACTTGAAACTGCAATAGTATATTACATTACAAGTGAAAAAATTGGTAGTTTCCTTCATGCGTGTGTCGGATTGGCGCAATACTTTTGCCACCCCACAAAATTTTTGTAAATATTATGGAGTCCTGGGGGTCGTGAAAAATCTCAGTGATAAAAAGAGGTCACAAGTGAAAAAGGTTTAAGAAACCCTGCTTTATAGCATAATACAATAATAATGCAGTATAGTTCTGCTAATAAGCCCATTAGCGCCAGAGTGATAGAGTCGCTGAATGCAGGTAGTTCGGTCCGAAGTTCGAATCCTGCGAACGGGTTAGCCGCATTGGCATTCATTTTTGTGGCTTTCCCCATGTGTGATGTGTATACGAGCCAGTTTCTCTCAGAAAGTCCTCCCTTCAAAACCAGTTTTAAGTTGGAATAAAATTACACACACAGGACAAAAAAATCTGAAAGCCTTCAGATCTTATATTACGTCGAAAGGGTCGTTTTTTACCATTTCACGTGCTACCTTTATTTATTAAATATCATGTTCTTCTCACTTAAACCATAAAATTCAATTCAACTGTAATATCATATAATTTAAAAAGAGCATATCTTTAGAATTTCTGATACACAGTTTCGCATGCTAGAGATGAAAATGTTTTTCTTCCCTCTTTTCCCCGTACAGTGTTGTCATTGCTCTCTTTGAAATCGTCGAGTTTCTTTACCAAACACTCATTAATGCTTTACAAAATATGAAATAAATAATAAAACAAATTCCCAGTACCAAATTTGGGCTTTCAGATGCCTACATTAGGGTGAAGGATTACGTTATTCAAATTTGACGGCTCTAGGTACCGTTGTTTTATCAGAGTGCGAGAAACATTCATACATTTATGCAGATTCTTCATTATTTAATTTCTTTAAATATAATACAGTGTGATAATATTTGGTGGCAACAATTTGAAAAGTGAAACGCCATTTATCGTGAAAAGCCACAAAATGGCAAAATGAAATTAATAGCCCTTTTGGGCTAAAAATTATTTTTAAAAGTATCATAATAGTAGTAGTACTACTACTGAAAAAATATTATATCATATATATTTCATTTTTATTTTAAAGTAGTGTGAATTTCGCGTAATAATGAACAACATTCCTTATTGTGTTCACAGTATTGTTCATACGGTATTTCAATGTTGTATTTTAAAATAAACATAATTCTTGCTGTACATAAATTGAGTAGACGCTTCTCGTATGTCTATACTTTTAATAACTGAAGAAGGATTATGTGTTAGATAAATACTTATTATCTTCTACATATTTAAACTATATAATTACAATATATATCTACAATTTCAGTAAAAGTATAAATAACCTTTCTTTCAGTAGAAATTGCGTTCTTGTTTTCTGAATGTGGCTCCAAATACCCTCTCAGTTCATCGTAAATTAAAATAACTCTAAATTTTGGCAATCTGAAATATGCAAAGAAAACATCTCCTGGGAGAGCAAAAGCATCAACATATTTTCTATAAATTCACTGTTGATTCAGAGATCTACCGCCGTACTCTTCATTTAAATATGAAAAAAATTAGTGGCGAAAACACGTACAAAGCCCTTGTCTACTTAGAACATCAACTGGACAAGCTTGATTGACGACGGGGCAACACTTTTCTGCGCACATCCGACAACTTCCGTACTCGGAGAACATGGGATGTCGGGCAGACCTGTTTTTCAGAAACAGCGACATCTGGCGGCCCGCAAACTGCTGTCGACTCTTCGAGAGTGGAATAGCCGTCCTGGAGTATTTCCTACATTTTAGTGGCCTCCTAAATTTTAACATCTGCATTAAATTACACCGCTAACAAATATTTCTAAATATTGCATTTTAAAAGCAGAGTTCTGGTCTTTTGTACTGCATTCGGATGTCCACTATTCAGAATAATCTAAAATCTGGACCTCAAAGCCACAAACATTTTTTTTTTAATTAATGCTTTACGCAAGCGCATTTGATTTTTTCTTCCATAATAAAACATGTGGAGATTTTCCCTTAAAAATTTCAATTCTTATTTTCACTTAATCACTAAATAAAATACCTCATTATGGAAAAACAATCATGTAAGCATAAATTTGCGAGATTAATAATTTGGCTCTGTAGCTTCGTACTCGCCATACATCTCAAACCGAAACATTCCCTATTTTATATCCCTGACGCCAACCTGGCGAGTCATTATTTATTATATTTTGCTTTCATCATCGCATATTTATCAATACATAACAGCTTCAGCAATAACTCATGCTGTGATGTCTAAACTTTTTTTTATATTAGTAATTGAAGAGTATGGCAGCCTTTTATGCTAACATTACGCTTGGCAATGATTTTTAAATGCTCTAAGAAATATTGACAAGGAAAAATTCAACAAAAATTTCTTTTCATATGCTAAAAATAGATTTTGTTAATGAAACTCATAAGCCAAAAGATTACATTTAGTGCTATTTTAATTTAAGAATAACTGATATGTTATTCACCATAAACCAGAAGCGGCAGCAGAATATGTCGGCACCGGACGGCAGAATTTAGGGAAGACAAAATTTTGGAATTTGGGGAGCACCAAGTGGCAAAATTAAGGGATGAGAAGTATTTATGATTTAGGGAAAGCACTGGGATCCACAGTTTAGGCATTATGAAAATTTAGAACTTAGGAAAGCGCTTTGTAGCAGAATTTAGGACCCATAGAAACTGCACCAGGCAGTATCGAGCGTTGGCCCTAGATAAAGCCTTAAGTATATGTGGGAGTTTATTTATTCAGGACTCAGATTAGTTTGAAGCACGCACAAGAAATAAATGTAGGTATAGTAAATAACTAAACTAATACAATTCAGGCTTAATTCAGTATGCAATAGGAACAAGACAAAATTTAGCGAAACAACTTGGCTTTCATCGTCAATCTTGTAATACACAGCCAATAATGTAAAACGGACACTATTAAGCTAGGCTAAAATTATCTTTACTGATTCTAAGGCATTTCAATTTATGTAGCAGACTGCGCTGCTCTCTGAACTTCTAATTTGATCCAGCTTGTTATTTTTTACAGACTGTTATTATTACGGCAATTTTATAAAAACTAAGCTTGAACTTTCGATTATGTTGAAAAGAGTTTCCAATTCTGGAGTTGCCAAAGGATCTACAAAGCGAAACCATGTTTCGATGTCCATTAACCCTTTCAAGATGGTCGTCCCATATACGCATTCCCTAAGAACGTCTCTTACAGCCGGGTGTCCCATCCACACATCACTAGAGATTGCACTCAGACGGGTGATGCATATACGCATTTTAAGCTGAAACGTTTTTCTGAAGGCCACTAGATGGCATTCTATGTCCATTACTTTTGAAATGAACACAGTTTTAAATTCCTCACCTTGAGTTTGATATATGTTGCCTGACTTTGGTATTTTACTCATCAGCTGTTGCGAGAGTGGGGGAAGGGAAAGCATAAACAGAGGTGGAGTCTTTAAATCGCTGCATGCTAATGAAAACATTCTCATGTCTGATTTATACCCAATTCCTTTTTTTAATCTATTTTTTCCCTCTACAATGTATGGTCTTTTAGGGCAACTGTGTGGAGTTCTTTTATGTTTTGCCTTCAGATATATTTCCGTTTCTTCTCTTTTTATTTAGGAAAGCCTCACCGCCAGTCTATTATGGCGGGAAGGCACTATTTATCATAGGAAGAATACCCTCGTATGGTTAGTGAACCATTTACTAACGTAAATGAGAGTGATGATTCATTTTCTAAAGAGTTAGAATGTGATATTTTTTCTAAGAGTTAGAAAGTGACACTTCTCCGTGCTTCGAGATTTACCACACTCAGTCTTCATTTTAAATTTTATTACTTACTGTGGATTGTCATTATTGTGTTGTTTTATTAATTTTAAACTTAATGGTGGATTTTATCAATTAAAACTTTGGAATAATTTGAATACCACTTCCGAAAAATATTTTACAAGATGACCAATTTTTAAATTATATTTTCATGTAAAATAAAGAAAAAAATTATAATAAGTACTAATTTTAACATATATAAGAGCTCAAGTAATAATCTAAAATGATAATTAAAATTATGATGCTAGAAGTGAAACTTTTTTTTCTGATTTTTTTTTTTTTAAATAAAATTAGGCTTAGTGATGCAAAACCTCCGTCCTGTATGGTGACTGCCTTCGATTCCCTTCCATCCCGCACGAGCATCTTAAACAAAGGTGCGCCGTCGTGAAAAGGTTAAAGAAAAAGTGGAATTGCTGCAAAAAATGGATAAAGGCATATCCATCTCAAAATTATGGGAGGAGAATGGCATTGGAAAGTCCACTGTATATGACACAAGAAAAAAGGAAAAGGAACTTTTTGAATTTCTTGTGGAAGCATCTTAAACAACTTATATTGAAAGAAATGTTTAATAAAGTAAACATATAAATATTAAGCTTTCTTTAGTAAATTTTGATACCATTTAGATCACAACTGTTCTTTATTTCATAAATTACGATTTCATATTTTTAATTGTATAATTTCTGCATGCTATCTCAGATTTAAATTGATGATCTATTATCCTGAAAAATTTCAAATCCGGAATCGCTGAAGTCCCGACCAGTCCAGATTTTGGACTTTGTCCGTACATAATAACTTCAAGTACAACATCCATACTAAAAACTGCAGCCTAGTGATGAATTATATCTCTGCAACTACACAAATACACTGCCATCTAAATTACTTGTTCTCAAATATAATGCCCAGTGACAGAGATGAGATGTTCAATTGGTGTTAACTAAAGAAATAAAAGTGTAGTTTAAAATAATGTCGCACATAACTCCAACCATTCCAAAATCTACTACTATAGTTACTTTCTCACAAAAATGAGGCAAATACCAAAATCAAATGGACTGCTTCAATTATACGTACAGATGAGATATGTATTACTCTTGTGATGAAACAGGAAATAATAAAGATAAAACTCAATGGCCTGAATGTCTATGAACATTTTAAAATATTCAATTTTTAAAATTACTACTTTCAAATGCTAGTCAGACTAGTTAACAATGGAATTCACGTGACTATGTTATGTGAAGAAACTACTGCTCTCAGTATATTCCTGAAAATTAGCATACTGATTTTGCCAGTGTTTCCAGGTTTAACTCCTATACAAAGCCCAGACTGCTTGTGATTGTCATTCTAATAAATTACAGGCACATAAAAATTTGTTAATATTTTATGTCCTTTAGTTGGCTGTCAAGGAAAACAAGGATATGGGACATTTGGATACCATCCACTGTGGAGTTTTCAATCAAAACTGAGTTGGTTTATTTGCTTGAATATGGCAAAGCACTTGAGGGCTATCTGCCCAAGGAGAGGGATGCCTTCATGAAGGACTTTCTAAGGGAAACTGTCTCAGATACATGTTACATATAGGAAAAGCTACCCCCCCCCAAAAAAAAACATGCATCCAGCCTGTTTACTGGGGTTCAACTGCTGGACCAAACTACCAGTGTTCATGGACTTTACCACTTGGCTGCTGATGGGCTGCAATCAAAACTGGAATGAAACAGAGCAGGATTCCAGAATTTTACATTTAATTTATTTTTTAACAGTTTAATCCTCTCCTACTTTTACATACCTTACATAAAAGGCTACAGTTTCATAACCTTTAGTAATTCTAAACAACATTTCAACTAATATTATTAAAACAAAGAAAATATGCATGACTGTTCGTGAGGTAGCTGGACCACTTCTTCAAATGAATGGAAATATTTATAGCAAAACCAGGGGATTCATTGATGCCTAAACACAAAAGTTCAAATCCAGCCTTGTCTTTGACTTATTTTATTCAAATTTTTCCAAAATGAAATTTACCAGCACACATGTGACTGAATATTTAATTAGTTTCTGTCTCATTAGTGATATAATAATTGTAAACACTGTTTCTATACTTCAATAAAATAACTCTGCTACTTCTGATCACAAATTATGATGGTTCAACAAAAAATCTCTTATCAATATTTTATTTTTCACAGTTCATTTTTAATTTAGATACAAAAATCTATGGAGTAATCATTAGAAAACATAATATATGGAATATGAATAATATGGCTTTAAACCAATTTTCAATTTCTAACACAATTTCAATAACACAATTTCTAACAACAAATTAAATATTAAGGGCAAAAACTGCACAAATATTTTCATCATTAGTTTATTATATTTATAACATTATTTACTATATTTTTCATCAATCTATTGTTTTTACAACAACCTCTATCTTGAACTATTTATTGCCCTACAGAAAAGTAGAACATTAAAAAAATAAAAACCAAACATTACTTGAAAATATCAAACATAATCTTTAAAAATGCTAATTTGTTTTGAATCATACATATAATTCATTATAATAAATTACACTTAAAAATTTTCCAATGAGATCAATCTGTTATTCTATTATTAGTTCATGTTCAAGTATTGAAACATTAATACAAAATTACCTATAATTATCTATTATCCTTCAATGCATGGGAGAACAAATAAACAAATTTTGAAATTTAGATTATAAATGCAAAATAAAATAACACAAAGAAGCATACCATAATTTGACATATAGCTGTAGCTGAAAAGGTTTCACTGCAAAAACAGCACTGCACTATCATGTCAGTAAACACAGATATTGATCCTGACACTTCCCGACAGGCGCTAACAACCTAAAGAGATTTTTAAAAAAGTAAAAATTTCATTCAAAGACAGAGAAAATGATTTTGCTTTAAACATTTTCTTATAACAAATGTTAAGATGTCTTTTCCTTCAGTTACAAAATAACTATTTTGCAGCATATATATATATAGAATTAAAAAAAAAATAATGAAAATATTCAGACTTTGAATGGGGATATTTCTATTAAATGATTTAAATGGAAGAATATTTAACTCTTTTAGGTTTGATAAGCACAGAAATGCTTATGGAATATTATAAAGAAATTTTAATTGTAGGGGAAATCAATAATCATTTATATAATAAATTTTGATTCATATTTATGATTAAGTTTAATAAAATTCTAGCCTAATTTTTTGTTTACATATAGAAATCAAAATTTCTAAATATTTGATACCAAAATGATCAGAATATTTAGTATACAATACATTTACAATACTATAACATATTGTAACATATTATAACATAGGCAAATTCTGTCTACTAACACAAATTATAAAATGCTGATGTACAAAAATACAGAGTTAATAACATTTCACTCTTTAAAGCAGTAAACAATAGAATTATAAATTTTATAAATTAACAAATAACTAAAAAAATGGTAAATAATATACATTCTGCAGCAATTCACACAGGTTATATTAGGTTATTTGAATATGGCACAGTATATGAGGACTATTTGCTTAGAGAAAGAGACACATGTGTAGAGTCTTTTAAGATAAATTGGTTTGTTAATATTTTGCAAATAATTATAAATACACATATTTATAATCACTTATACATATTTATAATATAATAATTATAATATGGTTGGACAACTAGGGAATTCAGTTATAAATCAGGTATGAGATTTAGTGGTTAGCTAAATTATGAATTAGGGTTTACCCTGAGAGTGATTTGAGGAACTTTATAATTTATTTCATATGCTAGAAAGGAATAGCTTAATATCTGCATTCTCCCTGAGTTATTCCCAGCTATTGTTTTGATTATTTTCCTAATAAATTGTTCATTTCTTCCTGTTTATCTGGAGTTATTATTTAAAGAAATAACGATGATCTTGTAGCTTGCAACAGTATTTATGTTACACATGGGAAAAACCAACACATGGGAAACTAACCAGGTAGCCAGCCCATTCGCTAGGGATGGAATCTAAGTCAAATTCCCAATATTTAGTGGCCTTAATCATTCAGCTATCAGTGAAGCTGGCAAAGCAACAGAGTACTATATATCAAAATTTAATTACATTACACACTACAAATAAAGCATTCTGTTATAAATGAAGAGAATAATCTGGTCATCTACATCATTTACTTTATGAGTTTCACAGAATTCATTCTCTTGGATACATTTTTAACATAACAAAGCTTTTCTAATATTTTTTTTTCTTTTTTTAACTCTATCTAACAGTGCAAGGAAATGACTTCTACGGAGCATATTCTTTAAATCAAATATTGCGTTACTTGTTAAATAAATAGCACAAAAACAACATGAACTCTCAGGAAAACAATGGGTTCTAATAAATTAAAGATATTAAGTATCATTTATATCCAAATACACACAATAAATTATAGCTTAACAGGTCACGTGTATTACTTTGGATACTGTGATAAACATTCATATTTGGCCACGTGTATTCTAAAGGAAAAAAAAGTCTATGTATAAGTGAATGAGGTAATGGGTTTTAGGTGATCCAATGACAACAAAATTTTGGCTGGTAATACTAATTTTTTGACCAAATGGGCCTTATGCATCCAAATAAATATTAACTAATTATGATCTAAAAACATATATAAATATCATATTTTAAAATATGTTACATGACATTAAACATTCATGATATGTCAAATAAATAAATAAATAATAATGGCTAAAAACTAAATTTTTATTGGTGTGTTTCCCCTAAAATAAAAGAAAGTCTTACATTAATTTTGGCTGCAAAAGACACACTAGGGCTTATTTTGGAAGCACAGTAATAAACATTTGTTCATGATGAAGAAATACATTTAGTTGTCTTACTCTGGAACATCGTCAAAGCACCAAATCATGAATTTCGGCCAGAATTTTTTGTGACTTCACTTCCTCTAAGACCATTGGCCCTAACCTTTCATGTTGAGCAACAAGACTTTCTTCAAATTAGCTCTTCTTGTCCATGTAACCTGCTTGTAAGACATAGTGAATACAGCTCTTTGTTATTTTATCCCATGCATTCTTCACTCAAGTTACGTTTTCTTGTAGCTTAAGCCTTAACAAAGTTTCCTCACTGATTTCTCTCCATTGTATTTTTAATGTAGTCAGTGACTTCCGTGTGCAAATGGTCTCTAAATGGCTTGTTTATTGCAATATCAAGAGTCTGAAGATATGGTGTCATTCCTGTGGGAATCATTATTTGATAAATTCTTTCTGCAAGGAAGTTCTTCATAGTTATATCATGATGAGTGCTGACAGGATCTCACACTAGCATACCTCTTTGGCCGCCTCATAAAACAAGTGGTATAAATAAATCAACCTGCGTTCTAATTGCTGACAAGCTTTTTCAGCCTCAAGAACATAAATACCTGAAACATATCATATTTTCTCTTTTTTGCCCTTAAGACATGGTTACACGGGGAAGGGTTCTTTCCATCAAGATGACTTGGGAAAATACATGTAATGCAAGCACTTTCATAACCAGTAGAGGTCATGTATATTGCAGAAGCACTCCTCTGATCAATTGGTATTCTGTTGACCCATAAACACTGCACTTTCATCCACAGCAATCATGTTCATAAGTTGGTACTTACAGAAGTCAATGCCATCAATGAAACATTTGAATGCAAGTGCACATTTAATCACTTCAGTATCTTCCAGTTTGAACAATGTTGTCAATCTTCTCAGGGACAGTCCATATTGCTGAAAGAAGCTATCCACCCAGCACTGTGATGCTTCGAATTTGTATTTGTCTGACAATATGTCTACCTGTGTGCCACTACAGGGGTAAATGCTTAAATATCATCCTTGTGAAGTTTTTGTTGTCAAAAATCCATTCACACATGATGTGCTACAATTTAGGAAATATTGGTTGCTAACCTGATCCACACTTACGCTTCTTGGCATTTCCCTCATCGACCTGTTAACCAAGGTTATCATATTCTGTTCACCATTTTTAGATCATTCATAGATCCAACTTTTCCTCCTTGCAGAAAGTTGTAGGATTTTTTCCTTCCACAATTCCTTTTTTGCATTTACTTTATCTAAGCATCAAAATTTATTATCCTTTAAATTTATTATTAAATCAAACGCTAAATGTTTGTTGCTAATGTGATGTATTGAGTACTGAAGATTCAAATTTGTTGCACTCATGTCTGCTTGTTTCATATGTGCAAGTACAACCTCTGTACTTGATCATTCGACAATACGGCATCCATCTTGCTGCTGGCTCCATCCTAGTGATGACCTTAACTAGGGCTTATTTTAGGAATACCCTGAAAAATCATGCTGAAGCTTATTTTTTGATTAGGTCTTATTTTGGGGGAAACATGATCTATGAGCATTGAAATGTGAAACACATTTATTTAAGAAGCATTTAATTTATATTTTAATTAAAATTTAACAAGAAGCAGTTTTATCTTGAAGACAAATAATTTTAATTTATATATTAGAAGACAGACTCAGACCTCTTGGATATATCTACATGCACCTGGACCATACAATGCATCAGAAATTTCCTGAGGCATAGGAAGCAGTGTTTCACTAGCTGACCATATGGACGTTCTCTCTGCAAAGTTTTCAATATCTAAAATAAAATTAATTTGTGTGAGAAAACTAAACCATAAAAGTTTACCAATAAGTGGTTAGAAACTAGATACATGTCCTAGTTTGTGCAATATCACACATATTAATTAATTAATTACTATTATTTAAATAGAATAAAATCCTGGAGAAGTGTTCAGTTAAAACTCATAAGTCACATAAAAATCTGAAACAATAAGTTTGAAAAAGAATAAATTTTTAAAAAGAATTAGAGGTAATTAATTGGAAGAGGGAGTTTTTTTTTTTTTTTTTTTTTTTTTAATATATGTACCTGTTAAAGTATTGCAAAGACACCTCTTTCAACATATAGCCTCCAATTTTATGCTATCAGTATATTAAAATACAGGTAAATAATATCTAAATTTATTACTATTATTATAAGATTCATTCTATTTAAAAATTCATTAATATATATATCATTTATGCCAGTAATCTCTGAGACTGCACAGTGACAAAAAGGCTACTAGCTATTATTGGAATTAAAAAAAAAAAAAAAAAGATTTGCAAATTCTAGCCTTCCAAATGATTGAACAAACATTTTTAACACTTAAATTATGTAAATGAATCACTGGTACAAAAATGATGAATTTAAATTAAATCAGTTAACTCTAGTCCAACAACATACTATACTATTATTTTACAAACAAATAATAAATACATATATGTTATCTATTCATGTAATTTCTCCCTCTCACAAAATCCCCATCAGCGTTTCAGCATATTGTTTAGAGCTTTAGATTTATAGCAGCATTATACAAAATATGCACAGCTTTGTTTAATTTATAAAACAGATTAAAATGGAGAACTCATTTAAAAAACACATTAACCAATTTTGGAAAAGAAGGGGTATAGGTCCTCTAGTAATAGCATACTTGCCAACCTAAGTCACTCAAAATTCAGAATTTTCTCAGCAACAAAAAGAATTTTAAAATGATAAAAATATTTTTTTTTAATAATGAATTAACTTTAACAGGGTTTGTACACTATTCTGCACTCGAAAGTTAACTACTTTTAAGGACAATTAATGAAACAAATTAAAGACCTATGAGCAAATGGGAACTGAATAAATTCAATTAAAAATATTATCTATGCCTGAATTCCACTTTTGCAATAGCATCCTAAAAATAAAATAGATCCCTAAATAGGATGCATTATTATTAAACATGAATTAATTAACATAATTATCAATAAATTTGAGAATAAAATAAAACAATTTATCAAGCAGCATTAAATATTTTACACTTATAATAGTTGAACATATTTGAAAGAAGATGACATTTACGTTTTACTAACAATTAGCTTTATGATGATTTTTTTAATGTCTCATTTTGTCACATATTTGCTCGGTCTAGAGGTTTAGTAAATAGCAGGTAGATTTTTATGTCAAACGGCATACGTTAAAATGAGAAGTGAAATCATAATCAGCATGATTCACAACAATGACTGAATGTTATCATTGCTGCTGCTTGTTTAGAGAGAGACCTGCTGATTAGAACAAACCTGAAAGGCCTGATGTAGGCACAGTTGGCAAGTTTTGAAAGTTAGTCAGGCTCTGTTTGATGCAGTTACTGTTGTAGCTTCGTGTAGAGTTCCAGGGGTTGTAACCCAGTTAATATACTTTAAGGTTCCAATGAGCCACTAAATCACCAGAGGTGATATGTTATTTTGTATTATTTTAAGTCTCAGCAGATGCGAAGAATAAGTTTTACTTGAATTTACACATTTTTGAGTTTTAGCTTGTGACCACAGTGAGGATTAATGAAAGGCAATAACTTGCTTTAATATGCAGAGATAATTTTTAAGGATAAGCACTTAGTTATAATTAATTAAATTAGGAAGTTAGATAACCTAAGTTATTATGGATTTACATGGCCACAACTAAATTTTATTTTCCAACAATACTTGTTAAAAACGCACTATTAAAATCAAAATCTAATAAAATTTCACAGTTTAAAATACATGTAATTTATGACATTGATTCTTAAACAATATTAGAATAATTACACATTAAAAACCTACAAAACACATATGTTTTCTAACAACAACACTCAACAAAATATTTATGCATCATTTTAATTTGAAGCCTTTCCCAGACATTTTGGCTAATTTTTATCGATTTCGTTCTATTTAAGCATCTTTTCTAACAATTTCAGAAATTTGTTTCAATACACAAACCAATGTTCTCATTAGTTTTTGTATGCTTTGTCTGTTAACGTCAATCTCTCCACAATGTACCTATGAGGATTTACTTGATTTGGTAAAAGTTAAATAGTCCAAACCCCCCTTCCGCAAGTGAAGCAAATTATCGCTACATCTGAAAGTAACTACATTATCAGACAAAGGTTTAAATAAACTTCTTATTTAGAAAGAACTTAAAACATAAAGGCAAGTTCTGATGCTAACAAAATCAATTACAGCTCATTGTAACGTAATTAAACAATTAACAAATTTAAACTAAAAAGGTGGACTAGTGGTCAAAGATAACACAATTTATTTTTAATTTAATTTGACTCAGTAACTCTATCATATGAGGAAATAGAAATGAGAAATTATAGTAAAGGCTGAAATCATAAACAACTGGGTAATTTACATAATAATAACAGCACATATTTTTGAAGAATAATTTCTTTTATGAATACAGTTTCTTTCTTCAACACGTTTCCTTTTCTTTTTAGAATTTTTGGATTTAATTAAAAATTTCTGCTATTCTTTAAAAAAAAAATCATTTGGCATGTATTAAAAAAAAGTGGCTAATTTTCTTTCGGCGCCATAGCATATCATAGACGATCTCAATTGCTACGAATTGTGGGCAATCTGAACAGCAACCGGTATATCCGTGAAGTTCTACAGCCCGAAGCTGTTCCCTTCCTTCAAAGCTTGCCAGGCGCTGTATTTCAACAGGACAATGCCTGCCCTCATACTGCTCGGATTGTTAAATCCTTCTTTGCAGCGCAGCAGGTACAGCTTCTTCCTTGGCCTGCGTGTTCCCCGGATATGTCGCCAATTGAACATGTGTGGGATGTCATTGGTCGGGATCTTGCTCGTGATCCCCGTCCTGTTGCGTCTGCAGACGAACTTTGGGTACGCGTACAAACGATATGGAATGCTCTTCCTCAGTCAGACATTCAAACTTTGTTTGACTCCATGCCACGTCGTGTAGCAGCACTTATTGCGGCGCGTGGTGGCCACACAAAATACTGATTCTGATCTCTTGTTCTTGTTTGTTTGCTTTGAACATTTAATCATTTATTTGTACCACTACCACTCAACTGTGTATTAAATTGCATTCAATTATGACGATTCCTTCTTGGTGTTGCAATTTTCACAAACGTGAGTGTATATATGATAAGGGCTGATTACAGAGCTGGTGTGGCAGAAATTCTAGAATTTAGTGACACAATGAAAAACAAAATCCAGAAATGGCAGAACTTTTAGAATTTAGAACAGGCATTGAAAGCAGAATTTGGAAAGGCATTAGGCAGCAGAATTCAGGATCCACAATCCACGGAGATTGCATCAGGTGGGAAAATGCCTAGCGTCAGCTCTGTGCATGATGCATTAAGACATATTACATGAATCTTTTAAATTGTTAGTTTTCAATTTCTTTATTAATAAAAAATTCCTTTCTATAATAATGCCTGCCCATGTGATAAGATTGGAAGCATTTTTGATATTTTCCATGCTTGCATCTAGTGAAAAGTATAGAAAATAAAAGGAAGATAAACATGTTAAAAAAACGAGTCTAGAAGTAAAACATTCAAATATTATGTTTTCATTGTTCTTCCAGATGTTCTCCAAGAAGTAAGAAATTCACCACAAACTTTCTGTAAAATACATACATTACATGTAGACATTTTTTATTTGGTCACACATTTCTGGAATCTTTTAGAATCATGGGTCTATAAATCTTGTCTTCAAATCCTTCTAAACTTTCCAAGCTAAATGTCTAAAATCCTAAAGAAAAATTATCCCTACCATTTCTGTAACAGCAAAAAGCCAGAAATATTTTGGAAAAAAAGGGCAAGGAGAGAAAAAGTGCAAAATTAATTTTATAGAGAAAACTGATGCATATTCTGAGACAATTACATGGGAAAAACTCTTTTTATGAAAAAATTAAAAAGACCTTTTTAATTAATTACATAGCTAATTTGCTTTTGCTAAGAGCTGTTTCATAAATTGTGCTTTATTGCATTATACCTTGTTTATTTTTCAAATTGAAAAAATTGTATAATAAATTGCTAAAATGAACCTTTATAACATGAGAGTGAAAAATAAAAATGTTTTATTTTAATGTTATTTTTTAAATATAATTTCAATATATTAACATTATTTTGTTGAAATTTATAAATGTTACGATGTTTTTAAAAAAAATCGTCAAAAATTCTTAGATCTCGGAATTGAAAATTTTCTACAGAAACTGATCTAAAATGGCCAAAATGTTGATAAGTGGCCAAATTTAGAACCGTTTAATAAAAGAATTAACATCCCCAAAAGAGAAAAGTTGTTTAAAAGCTTGTTATTAGATAAAATGAATTTTGAAATGCTTATGTTTCACTTCTTGCTTAGAAACTCTCCCACCATTTATACAGTCAAAAGTCGTTAATTCGGACACCCATAATCCGGACCTCAAAGCTAAAAACTTTCTGCGCATGCGCCGCGTTGACACATGCGCATAGGCGTTTACGCGTGCTCGTAAGACCTTTTACGTCTGCGCAAGTGCAGAATACGTTTTCGCGTGCGCGTTTTATGTATAACTGACGGTATAAGCTAAAATTATCTAATTATCTATTTCAGTTAATGTTGATGATTGCATTTTTCCTTAATTTTCGAATTGGATCCAGCTTATTATTTTTTGCAGACTGTAAGAGCAATACTATAAAAGTAAACTTGAACTTTCGATTATGTCAAAAAGAATTTCCGATTCTGGAGCTCCCAAAGGATCGTACAAAACGAAAGTATGTTTCGATGTCCATCAAACAAAAA